TTTTTTTTTGTATTTTGAGACAAGGTCTCACTGAGTTGCTTAGTGCTTTGCCATTGTTGAGGCTGGCTTTGAACTCACCATCCTCCTGCCTCAGCCTCCCAAGCCTCTGGGATTACAGGCCTGCAGCAGTGTGCCTGGCTTAACCTTAGGTTTGATGACTAGTGACAGTGTGGTAGGCAGAGGAGATGTACTAAGGGTGATAACTATTGAGGCCTGTGTGTCCAGACTCTTCCATGTCCCTTAGAGCAGGGTGCTCCTTTCCACTGGGGTCTGGTGACCTACATGGGGTGAGAGTGACCATCCTTCTTCAAAGGCTCACTCAAATACCACTGTCCCATGTTTTGAGATGGGACGTCCTGAGGCTATCTGTACAATCCTGCATGTGAGTGCCCAACCCCACAGATTTGGGCCCTGGTGACTTGATGAAGAGGGATTCCATGGGAGAAGTAGCAGCCAGAATTGGGATAACTTTGAAAGAAGAACGGATGGTGGGATATGGAACGAGAGAGAAAGGGAGGAGACACAGGTGACTCTGAACCCCGCCAGCAACCAGTGCATCCACTGTAGCTCTTCCTGTCCCATTGCCAAGTTTACCAGGGCACAAAATTGTCTTGAAAATAGAAATCCTCAAATAAACACATTCAGAAGCTGCAGAGAGATTCGGTCAGGCAGCCCCAATCTCTTTCACTGCAACACGGGTCAGACTGTATATGCATTTAAGCTGCGAAGTTTATGGTTCCACTTCACTGTGAACCATAAACCATGAGTCTGGCTTGTCCTTTAAGACCATTTGTAAGAAGTCTCAGCAGGCATGGGACCATGGGGTAGCATCGCTGCATTAACTTGTTTTTGCCCTTCTGGAAATGGAAGGCTGCTGGGACCCTCTGTCCCATGAAAGCAGGGCATCAGCCATGCTCTCTGCACTCCTCCGAGGCTGCCCACCCCCCACTGCTCCAAACTGCCGCTCCCCAAGTCAGTAAAGGAAACCCAGGCTTGTTCTTACCCACCCCCATCATCTCCACCCCTTCCACCCCTCTTAAATTCCATTTTACAACACACAAAGCAAGATAGCCTTTGTTAAAAAGTTTAATGTTCTTAATTAGTTGAATCTGTTGGGCTAATTAGAATACCAATTAGAACTGGCAGGGCTATCCTTAATTTGAAAGTGCTGTGGTCTAGTGTTAATAGCTATTAAACCTTATAGTTTGTAAAAGATAGAGAGGGGATGAATTCACAAAATACTATTTCAAATGTGAAAGGTCTGTGGTCAGAGGATCCCGCCTGACAGTGAGTTTTCCAGGAAAAGTAGAGACCCCAGAGATGGTGGCTGTGGTGGCCAGGACTCACCATCATCAACACCCCTTTTCAAAGCATAGTAAAAGACTGGAATGTGTTTTACTAAAATAGCCACAACATTTAATTCACCTCACGGACTAATGATCTAGAATGATTCTTTGAAAAAATAACAACCAAAAAAGATATTTAAATCTCCAAGGCACAAAAAAAGTTTCTGCTGTTAACAGAGATCTGTGTCCCCTTTGGGTTATAACTTCCTGGGGGCAGGGGAGCTCTTTTTATTTCTGGTCATTGTTTGAATAGGAAATTAGAAATCAGAAATAACAACACCTGATTTTTTTGTACAGAAGAGGTGCCCAGTCAGAATGGAGCACTGAACGAGTCCCCCTATTTCATGTCTTACTTGGAGATGACTAAATGGATGTGTCCTAATTTGTGTTTTCAGACAAGTGTAAAAATCACTCTTCCTTGTGTTCGACAAAGCAAATATGGAATGGACAATTATAGCTATTCTTACTGCACATTTTCTGAGCTAGGACTTTATTTTCCCTCTATTCCGGCGATAAAGATAGAAGGTATTGCCATCCATTATTTCTGCTGGGATCCTCTCAATATATTTGTAATACATTTCCAGAAAATAACCGCACAGTTTAAAGGAAACAAATATAAAAATATATTTCATCATATGTGTTATAGCACCGTTAAGAAGCAAAGAATCTATCTTTTTAGATGGTGAATTGCTTCACAAAGGATGTAAATATGTTCAATTCAATTGCTACCTCACATCTTCTTGGAGGTAAGTGGAGAATAAATTTAAAACAAACAGACAGACCAACAAATATATAAATGACTGAGTGACAATCAGTGCAGTATTTGTGTACAGAAGCTGGCAGAAAGAAAATAGAGTCTATTGCCGTGAGTTTTCTCCAGATGTATTTTAGGAAATAGGGTGACTTTAACATCCGGAATGCTAGATTAAAGGAACATCGAAATGAGGCTTCAAGTGGCCTTCTCAGATTAGATTTCGTCTGGACCCAGTGCCACCCACAAGGCAGCAACTATGCTAGAGGCCTGCCCTGGACATAGGAGAACACAGAGTTGAATAAAACCCAGTTGGGATCTACCAGAGGAGAGTGTATACATAATAGGAAAGCAAATAGCAAAATTATATTCAATAACTAATCAAAATCGAGACTCATTTCCTCTGAGTATGGCTTCAAATGCCATATTAAGCTTTTTCCTTTTCCTTTCTTTATTTGGTTATTTTTGCTTACCTCTAAGTTTTTTTTTCCCCCCGTTGGTTTTCAGGCCTCCTTACCAGCTCCAGTTCTTTTAAGACTACTAGCTGAATGAAAACTGAAGTTATGGTTAAAAATGATACTCATGCCCGGCGCAGTGGCGCATGCCTTTTAAAATCTCAGCAGCTCGGGAGGAAGATTGCAAGTTCAAAGCCAGCCTCAGCAACTTAGTGAGGCCCTAAGCAACTCAGCAAGACTCTGTCTCTAAAGAAAATACAAAAAGGGGCTGGGGATATGGCTCAGTGGTTAAACACCCCAAAGTTCAATCACTCATACCAAAAACAAAAACAAAAAGTTATTCAGGCTTTTTATTTGGGTCTTATTTTTAACCTATGTGTAAAGAGTAACTACTTTTTGAAAAATGATAAGAAATTGAATTTTCAATATTTATTGAACACATGTTAAGCCCAAGAGACTCTCCTTAACTAAAGCACCGAAACAGGTAAAAAACCTCTAGACAAACAAAGCACAGACCTTAAGGAAAAGTTTGAACTAGGGATTACACTGATGCACAGGTCATTTTAATTTCCTCTCCTTCTATTCAAAGGCATTTTCCTTGTGTGCATTTGTAGGAGCTTTTTACATTTTCTTGTAGGCAGATCTTTAGATAAATTTAGTCTATAGACAATCCATAAGTCCCTTCATTAATTGATCTGTGCATTGATTTAACAAAGATAATTTGTTCTTGACCGTGTACCAGATAATGTGTTAGATTGTGGGATACAAAGATAAAAACACAAGAAACCAAAAAAGTTCTCAGTCTAAGAGGTAAAGAAATAGTTGCAATACTACCTGGCATGAAGCTTGTCTGGGTCAAAACAAGGTTCCTTGGAGGATAAAGGATGGAGCGAAAAACTTGCTACATGGCCAGAGTTAGAGAGGTGAGGTCAGAACAAGGTTTGAAGGACAGGAAGGACCATGTATTAGTTTTACATTGCTATAATGAAATACCCAAAGCAGGCTAACTTTATAAAGACAAGAGGTTTATTTAGCTCACATCTCTAGAGACAAAATGTTCCAAAAGCATGGTGCGGGCTATGATGAGATCCCCCTTCCCTTGGCTGCATCATCTCATGGGAGGTGGCAATGGATAGTTTGTGAGAAGAGAGGCCCTGTTGCAAAACTAGAAACCAAAGAGAGAATTAGGAGGCTCATTATTTTAACAACTGGCTCCCTCAAGAGCTCTGGGGTCTCAGGAGAGCTACCTTAATCCTTTTGGAGGCTGCTTCCCCAATAATCTAACGATCTCCCACTGAACCCCATCTCTTAAACGTCCTACTGCCTGTACATTGCCACATGGGGAACTCCCTTTCAACTCCTGAACATTTGGGAGGCACGCTCAAACCACAGCAGCACTCTGGGACTGATGTCCCCTGGAAGGTGCAATGCAGGGTCCCTGGCTTGGAGTTTGGTGATGGTGAAAGCACTGGGTGTTATCTGAACTTGGAAAATCCAGTGCAAAGAAAGAGTGGAACATGAGTAAAAGTACAGCGTTTGTGCCATACCACAAGGGCAAGTCTGTCTTCTTTCTAAAACCTGTCCAGCTCCAGAGGACAGGCGTTGGCCCACTGCATACTAAATGCATGGTTTAGGAAGCTATTTCATTAATTAACAAGCTTTAGGTATTTTTTTTCATCTGCAGAGCATCTATAGCATTGAATTAGTATGAAATATCTTCAAAATTTCTTTTAGCATCTATGAGATGTATGTAAACATACATCTTCAGGAAAGTCCATATGGTTAATTTCATTTTGGGAAAGAATGTTAAGAGCATAAGTGATATACTCTATTTCCCTTTGGATATGACTTTAGACTAAAAGTGTCCATATTACAAAAGAAACTATTTGAATCAGCCAGATTCTCCCTCTCCCTGTGTGAATCCTTACCCTGAAAATAGACTGAATGAAGTCAAATCCAGCTACAATTTCCCATTTTCCTCCAACCTCCCTGAATGTTTTTGAGCAAATTCCCTAATTTTAACCATGGGTGCTTAATGGCTGTTATTTGATGTCTGTGTGTCTGTGCGTCTCTGTGTATATTTATGGTTTATTTGCCCTGTGTCATTCTGCAGAAATGGATTCACTCAGTCAACTGGATGTGAGAGATTTGAGCTCAGTAATCAGCTGGAGGAACAAAGAGACTGTAATCAGGAGAAGCCCCTGAAGGGAAGGTAGTCTACTCCCCAAGTCCCCTGGGGGTCTTCATCAGCACTAGAGAACTGTTTTGACAGAACTACTGAATTGGGTGCAAGAGTCAAATTCCGGGGACATCAAACCAGGACAGACTTTCTGCTTGCCCACAAACAACAGAGCCCCCTCTGCCTTGAGGGAATAGGAGGAGCCGATCTCGGGGGTGCAGTGGCTTCCAGGGTTGGCTGGAATGACTTGCTGTAGGCAAAAGGGCAAGGAACATTGAGTAGCAGAAATGGAAGCAAATAATTTATTATTATTATTTTTTTTAAATTGCAAACCCTGGTGTCTGGCCCCAGATATTTGAGCATATTCTCCATTCTTCTAACAAAAGAAACACACATGCTTATTCCACCCTTTTCCGCCTCATCTGGCAGCCGCTTTCTGGTCCAGCAGACACTAACATCTAATGAGTCAAACTTCTCATTTTCAGACTAATCAGTCGGCTGCACTAATTGCAAATGCAAATATGCAAATTTATATTAATTAATTACTCTGCTAATTAGTTCTGCGGTCTTTTTTGGGTAATAAATCATTGTGCAGTGGAAGGGAAACAAGTCCTGTCCCATTTCACTCCACATAAAAATTTAATGTACTCATGGAAGAAAATATATATATATATATATATATATAAAAAAGAAACTGTGAGCTGATCACTCTGCTTCCTCTGACGAGTCCCCTACAGAAAGGTGCCATTGTGAGAGGGCTTTCAGATCTTCAGCAAATGCCATCACTAAGGTGCCTGTTAGCAATTTAATTATCACATTATGAGCTTCAGAAAAAGCCAGTTTGCTGTGCTGCAGGCTGTGACATGGAGCTCGACAGTTCACCCACTTTGCAGCAAAACACTTATAAACACAATGAGAATATCAAGAGGGAATCACATTTCTTTTGCTGAAACTCTATAGCTGGGGAACAAATATTCTGGAGGGTGTTGTTGTTGTTATTTTGTTGTTATTGGAAGCTCAGGTTGTCCTCTTGCCTTCCAAGCCCTTGAATTAGAAGCCTTATCATTCAGGTTCAGAAACGAACTCAAGACGTGTGTCATGGCGGAAGGGGGTCCAGGGTCAGGGAGGAAAGTGGGGAGGAAGTGCAGGTAGCAGTAGGGGACAGTCTTCCGCGATAGCTAGAAGTGATGCACACTCAGATTTGTTAGTTTCACAGAGTTTCCTCCTGGAGACTCACTGTGTCCTCAGCTGCCTTTTGTGGGGACACAGTGACATATAGGTGACATACGGGAAACAGTCTCTCCCAATTACATTGTACGTTCTTGGAGGATAAAAGGGCTATGTGTGATTTACCTCTGTGTTCCTAGTTCTTTTACAAGACAGAACATTCAGTAAGTATTTGCTGAATGAATGAATGAACAGCCTCCAAGGACCTCAAGTCTAGTTACAGTGACACTCGCTGCTACTCAAGTACAGCATCACCTTTATTGTTGGGAAGGTACCAAAACTAGGCAATGGGAGGACAGAGTGTGGGGTTCAGATTTAAATCCTTATGAATTTAATGTGCCTTCATTTCCTTCTTCTTATCAACAAGAAATTTCTACTTGAATTCCCTGTGCTTTCTCCTCTCAATTATGCCATCCATGTGTGGGAGTTGGTTTGAGCAGTAAAGAGCAACTGCTGTCATTGCAGTTGGGCATTTTGCCTTTGAGCCCTGGCTACCCACTTCCTGGTTTTGTGATCTTGGAGGTCCCTTCCTGCATCTGTAGAAGTGGAGTAGTGCGTGCATCATGAATGTCGTGATGGACCCCGGGACTTTGCACCCAGGCAGCTCAGCATCCTCAACTGCTCTGTACATAGTTCTTTATTTTTTATTATTTATAAAAATTATTTACTCTTGTTTTTTTCTTAAAAAATGGTATGTAGGACACAAATACATGGTACAATATTAAAAAAGTGCATAAGGTTGTCAAAAAGTAAATCTCCCTTCCCTGACCCCTCACCTCTCTGTTCCCCTCCCCAAAGGCAACAGTTAAATTCTAAGTATCCTTCCAGAACTAGACAGTGTATTTGCAAATAATTTATATGCACCTCCCTTCCCTGCACAAATGATAGCATGCCATATTACTGTTCTGCTTCTTACTCTTTTTAACCTTATCTATACATTCAGAACTGCAACACTACATGCTTTTAAAGCCTATGTGTACACCATGATATGAGAGCATGCTAATTTATTTGAATCAGATCCGGATTGGTGAACCTTTGGTTATCCCCAATTTTCTGCTGCTACAAAGAATGCATCGGTCACATCCTTGTACATTATAACATTTTGCCCTTGCAGAAGTACACCTGTGGGACAAAAGCCTAGAGAAGGAACCATCACATCAGTGGACATGTTCTTCAAACTTCAAAACCCTGAGAAAACATCCTCCAGAGAGAACATCCCAGTTGGCACACCTACTGTGACTGTGCTCCCCTTCTGACACTCTTTCTTGGTCAAATTTCCTAAATCTCAGTTCCTCTGTGTTCTCCTCCACCAAGTGCGGACTAGTAAGCTCTCTCCTCACAGCCCAGTTATGAGGAGACAGGGAGACTGCACATGAAAAACCCTTAACATGGCTACATGTCACTATTCTCAACATTAATGTCATGTTTCCTTTTTACCCTTCCCAGGATTGCTTTGAGAGCAAAAGGAAAACACAGTGTGGGAACACAGTGTACAAGGCTGTATGAAAGTTAGTCCTTGGGAAGAACCCATGCAGCTTTTTCTACTGTGCTAAATCATACCTCAAGTTCACCCCAGACTGCGCCTATTTGATGTAAGTGTTTTTGAACTAAATGCAACTCGAAGCTGGAAATGAGGGACAGCTCTGTTCGTTCTCCTCCTTTCCCACCCATAGACAACTCTTTTTGGCTCAGAGATGGCACCAGAAGACTCTGCAAAGAAACTTTGTCCATTAGCTTCTTCCCACGTTTTAACCTTCCCACCTCTGGAAGCCGGACAAGGCTCTCTTCATCCATCAGTTCCCCACAGATGCAGTGTTCTTTGTGGAAGATGCTGTATAAGCCAGAGTTCTAGGCCACTGCCTTGAGTTACCTTTCATGGCGGTGTCTCCCAAGTGACATGTACCCACATGTTAATAAATTGGCTTCATTTTCTGTGCTAATCATCTTTGGTTACAGAGGTCTGTCCGAGCTATGAATTTCTGAGGGTTGAGGAGAAATTCTCTTAGCTTCCCAGCATCACCCTATTTTCTCAAGAGGGTTTGTGCCGTGTTGGACTCTTGGGTGGTAAGTGTAAAACATAGTGTGGAGGTCTTAAGAGGTTTGTGACCTTTCATATAGGTATAACTCAGCTAACAAAAAGAGGACCAATTATCAACTTCCTTCCCCCAATCAATCCTATCTCAAGGAGCAGGATAGGTCAAGGATAGAATGAGCAACGGAAAGTGAGAAGACAAACCATGGAAGGAGACAACGGGAACTAGGGGCTGGGACCACAAGGATCCAGGGCAGAGGCTGGTCGAATCCTGCAGAACAAAGCTGAAGGTGTACTAAGGTCCAGCACCAGGAGAAGTTCTAGTGGAGCAGGTGGCTGAATTGTTTGTGCACAGATCCCAACGCCCCAGCCCACGTTCTGGGTTATTCTGATATTGTTTGTCCAGCCAGGAAACTCCCCAACTCACTTCTTTTTCTTGCCCCTAGGAGATGATTCTGTGGCCCCTCCTCTCTTGTCTACTTTAATTCTCCTCCATGAATTCAATCTGTCCCCAGAGTCCCAGCTGCCACCAGCCACCCCAGGCAACTTGGCATCACCTTTCATCACCTTTCAGTCCCCTGCTGGCTCTTCAAAGCCATTCTTAAATGACCTGTGTTTTTTTTGCAGCTCAACTTACCTGAACCCCAGTCATCCTCTCTGAAATGCCCTTTCCTTCTCATTCTATTTCCGGCTGTGCTAATGAACTGTGGATGACTTATTGGTTTGTATCTACCCTGTTTGCAAGGACGAGCAAAGTAGCAATATATTACATCCTAAGTGCATGTTGGTCAGTTGGTGGATCCAACAGTATTTTGGTCCTCGAATCCCCATCTTCCCCAGGGCAGTTCACTTTCCCTAATTGTTATTTCCATATCAACACAATTTGAAAGTTATGTTCTCACTAACAGTTCTTCAGCACAACCCTGCAGGCTGCTGGTCCAGGGACAGCTTGGGAAAGGCCTTTGAGAACCTTCTATGAGTTTATGTGCGCAGGAGATTTCCTGTCCTTCTACTCTGCAGGGAATATAGCTGTGTCCTACAGCGTCCATGGGGAGAGCTGGGATGATTATTTACTCGGAGAGCCTGAGAGTGTGGATTATCTTAGGTCACAATTAGACTGATAGAAGTGAATCAAAGCCAGGCCGGGTGGTGAACACCTGTTATCCCAGAGGGTCAGGAGGCTGAGGCAGGAGGATCACAGGTTGAAAGCCAGCCTCAGAAAAAGTGAATCCCTAAGCAACTCAGTGAGATCCTGTCTCTAAATAAAATACAAAATAGGGCTGGAGATGAGGCTCAGTGGTTGAGTGCCCCTGAGTTCAATCCCTAGTACCACTCCCCGGAAAAGTGAATTGTGATACAGATTTTAAGAATACAATAGCATTTGGTTAAAATCCTGGAGAACTGAACCTTCACATTTCCATTTAAAACCAAAGAATAAATGTCATTAATGAGTCTTTTATGAAGGTGAAATGGAGAAATCATATGTGTTTTTTCAGATAGTTAAATTAAAAACCCTATGCCATGTTCTAAACGTGTTTGTATTTGAGTCATGTTTTACTAGCAAAATAAATAAAAATAAAATAAAAGATGTTTTCAATAGGTATTTTTTCCTAACCCATGTTTTAGATAGGAGACTATTGAGTTTTGTTTTCAATCTCAAATTTCTTGGTAATCACTATAGTTAAAGAATAGTACTAATGAGGCTGCATATCTTATGTTCAAAAATTATCAAATGTCTTCTCCTAAGAAGCTTGTGTTCTATATGTCCACACTGAGGCCATCTCTTCTGAAAACATGGGCCCTGCATATAAAAGGAAATGTGGCAGGTTTACAGGAAAAGCAACTTAAAATCCACGCCCCTTTAAGATATTTGATTTCATCCTACTCATGTTCTCACATAAAGAAACATAAAAACCTCCAAATTCATCAAATGTGTGCATTTGTGAGTATTGATGATATCTCGATAAAAACTTCAAAAAATAAATAGTAATTGCCCTTAATCTTTCAATCCAAAAATAATGTCGATTGTGTGAGTCAACTTTTCCATCACTGTGGAAAATACAGGAGCTAACCAATGTAGAAGGAGGAGAGATTTATTTTGGCTTGTGGTTTCAGATGATGGTCACTTGGGCCTGTTACTTTGAGCCTGTGGTGTGGCTCAGTACATCTCGGTGGGAGCATATGGTGGAGGAGACCTGTTCACCTCATTATGGGCAGGAAGCCAAGAGAGAAAGAGGAAATATCTGGGATTCCAATGTCCCCTTGGAGGTGGCACCTCCAATGACCCCCCCACTAGACTCTACCTTTTGAGAATTCCACCCACCTCCCAATAGCCCCCCAGGCTGGGGACCAAGCCTCTCACATATGGGCCTTTGGAGACACTATAAATCAGCAACTGCTAACATTTGTGCTATGTCCTCCCAGACATTCAGATCTTTATGTGGAGTTGTATCTGCAGATTTGCCTCTGACACCCTGGGCCTGAAGCACTGATGCCCACCTGCACAGATGTCAAAGGCTCATTCTGATTAGAGCACTGTTATGCAGGTTGATAACACTTTGAATATCACCGGGTTTCTCTTTAACCAAAGTGAAGTCAGTTTCTCTCTACTGTTTAGGTGTGTGTGTGTCCATTTTTTTCAAGATAGACATTACTTTTTCAAAATGTGCATCCTTTTATGACTATAGAGTATTCAGTTGTGCTGATTTTCTGAGTTACCCAACTTACCTGTGTTCCTGGGCATTTTGTATTGTTTCTGATTCCATCTTTTTTTTTTTTTTTTGTATTTATGTATCACGTGCTTTATATTTTTGATCTTCCTTTTTCCTTTGTTATTTGTGTGGCTTACCTTTCTTTCCACCAGTGGTTTGAAATTCTACACTTATTGTTCTCTAGTGATCATTATGCTTTTACAGAGAATATTTGAATTGATTATTGTCTAGCGGCACTGGGTTTCAATCTAACTGCTAATTTCCTCATGCCCATTTTTGTGTGAGAGTGGTTATCTCCGCTTTTATGATCTCCTTGCATTTCCAATTCTCTGTCTATGTTTAAATACTTTGGGGTTTTAGATTTATTTTTTGAAATACCACTGTATCTCTTTTCTCAAGAATTGTGGGCAGACACAGTGGCACACACCTGTAATCTCAGCAGCTCAGGAGGCTGAGGCAGGAGGATCACAGGTTCAAATCTATCCTCAGCAAAAGCGAGACAGTAAGCAACTCAGTGAGACCCTGTCTCTAAATAAAATACAAAATAGGGCTGGGGATGTGGCTCAGCACTTGAATGCCCTTGAGTTCAATCCCTGGTACCAAAAAAAAGAAAAGAAAAACAGGAATTGTGTTTACCATTTACATTGTTTATATTCATTCAAAAATTGTTTAGTCATTAAGTCTGAACTTTACAGCATTCATTACTCATTGCCATTTCTTTTAAACAGCCTTATTCATATATATTAATCTTTTTGCTTTTTGTCTTGATACTTTCTTAGTGAACTCAAATACTTCTTGAGAACCTTTTTTTCCTTCTTCTTCAGAAACACACATGGGTGATGTACATTTTTAGCCCTTGAACATTAGAAAAAAATTTTCACTTATTGTCAAGTGAAAAAACAAAACAATGTTTTTATTAAATTTTTCTTCAAATTTCTTGACATCTCCCCTCACCCACCACCACAGCCAATTATTTTCTCACTTTGAACTTAAATCTGATTTTTTTTCTTTAGTATATTATCCTTAAAATTATCACCCGTGCCTGGATATGTATTGTTTCTCCCCTTGTCTTTCGAATAACAACAAAACCATAACTAGAATTAGTCTGTGTGTGAGAGACTTTCTTCATGACCTTGTGCAGGAGAGTCCTGAAGTCCAGATTCATCTGTACTTATTTTCATCACAAGAATCTGTTGCTCTTCTGAAGTTAGATAATCAAACTGTTGCCTGTGTATTTCTGTCTTCTTGGATTCTTCTCATCATGCTCCTATCGTGTCTCGGGGATCTGTCACACCCATCATTTATCTTTCTGCCTATCCTGTGCTCTGTAATCATCCTCTTACTCTGAGGTCTGGAATATGCTCTAGGGCTGGTCTTCGATTCATGGATTCTTTTTTCCTCCTTCTCTGTTCTGCTGTTTACTACTTCTCTTGGCATTTGAAAATCCTGTCTTTCACCTGAAAGCATCTTTCCATGGAAATGGATATTTCCCCCCTCTTGACAGAAATGCCATTCTGAAATGGACCGAATTTACAGTGTAACTTCCAATGTACAAGTTTTCAATTTCTCGCTATAGTCTCTGTTGTTTGTGGAAACTCGTCTCTGCTACTTCTTTTGATCAAATGAGTCTTTTCCTATGTCAGGTGAATTTTCACCATTGCGGGGTGGGAGCAGAGCTGGATGCTTGTTATTTTAAAGCACTATGATGATTTTGTCAGCAATTTTATGGATCCCTGTTCATGTGCATGCGAGCTCCAGACAAAAAAGAAATGAAAACAACTTATATTTTCTGTGATCTTATTTTTTGGCAGAAAAAGGTTCCAGAAGCCTGAGAAGAGAGTGGGAAATTGAGCCAGAAAGAAACGTTTTTAAGATTTAGCTACACTTACCTGATGACAGCTTTCCTCTGTTTCACTTGGTACCTGGGAGACAGAAGAGCGGAAGGGTCTTAATTCATAATCTGTTACTAAAAGTTTCTTCCTACTCTTCCACTAGTGCAGTGTGAGAATGTGCATTTCTCATCCCTCTCTTTTCCCCCTCCTCTCCTCCTCCTCCTTTTTGTCCTCCCCACTTGCCCCTACTACTGAGGGTTGAACCCAAGGGCTCGCTACACTAAGCTACATCTCTAGCCACTTTTTTTTTTTTTTGAGACAAGATCTCCCTTAATTGCCTAGGCTGGCTTCAAACTGAACATGGA